TTGTCTTATTCGACCGTAAGTGCCCTGCGAAGTGGACTTAACATGACATGATTCCAGTTCCAAGAGAACGTACACATTACATTCAAAGGGCATTCAAGTGCGCGAGACGTTAATTTATATTGTAGTTACTTTGTGCATCGCACTCATCGCAAGTTTATTGTTAAATTGTTAAATGCATTATAAGTGTTTGATCACCACATCTGAGTGATCATTGCAAAAAATGTGTTTATGTATATATATTGTTTATGTATATACTGTATTCTATATATAGTACCAGTCAAATATTTGGACACATGAATGGGAAAGTGTCCAAACTTTTGACTGGTACCGTACTATAATATACGCAAAGAATATCGGCCAATATATCGGTATCGGCCTTTTTTTTTAACTCCCTAATATCGGTATCGGCCCCAAAAAACCCATATCGGTCGGGCTCTAGTTAATATCACCGGAAGCGTCACGCTATAGGAGTGGTAAACAAAACCGCACGTCTGCGCCATTCATCAACACAGAGACATGCAGAATTCATATTTAAATAGTTGTTTTGCGGCTTAATATTTACAAATACTAATGGGAGTGGGAGTGTGCTCACTTGTGTGTGCGCATCGGGGCGGAACTCCGCTGTGCGCGATACAGAGAGCACAGTTATGTAGAGACAGAAATGACATGCTGTCGTGTAAATAAGATAAATAACATAAGGCTATTTAGTTTGTTTAATAAAAAAACAAGGTATAGACATGTTCTATAGGAAAGGTAATTTTAAATGATCCTTTCAATTTAACAGTATTCAGAACTGAACCGGAATGAACAAAAGTATAAAGCAAATTAATTATTCATTTTAAATAACGTTTATTATAATCGTCAAGCCTAAACAAATTTATTTAAAGCAAAACTAAAACTACCATTCTCTATACAAATAATTTTGGGTTCTTAATCAGTACAAATCTGAATGTATACAGTTTGCACATGTTTTGCGTGCTTGATGCTAATTTTATTATATATACACACACGTCACATTGGACTGTGAGTTGTAGTATATTTTAGATTATGAAAAACAAAATTGTATTATGCAAAAATGTTTACACTTTAGTATAGGTGTCACGGCTGCATAGAGAAGCATACTCAGGAAGAACGATTCAGAGCTTCTTTATTTACACAAACTGAAGGAGAGCTTCAAACGGTAAGTTTTGAACACAGAGACACAGAGCCACGGAGATCCAGAGTGATGTGGAGAGGCATGAGGTAAGTTTCTGCCCTGGTGTTCATGACAGTCAGCTTAGAGATACTGCCCGATCTCCTGGATCTTGCGTTTGGTCTGGCCATTGGTTTGGGGATGATAACCTGAGGAAAGGCTGACAGACACTCCCAGCAGACGGAAGAAACCACGCCAGACCCTTGATATGAACTGCGGCCCTCTATCTAAAACGATATCTTCAGGGAGACCAAAGTGTCGAAAGACATGCTGAGAGAGCTTCGGCTGCCTCCAAAGCAGTGGGTAATCCACGTAAGGGGATTCATTTACAGGTTTAGGAGAATCTGTCCACCACGACAAATATGGTAGTGAATCCTTTAGAGTATGGAATATCAGTGGTGAAATCGATTCCAATGTAGGAATAGGGTCGACGTGGAACAGGTAAGGGAACCAGTTTTCCTGCAGGTAAATGGTGTGGAGTGGATGTGATGGCGCAGACCAAACAACCCTTGACGTAGCGGGCGACATCCTGAGCCATGCTGGGCCACCAGTATCTGTTCCAGAGGAGCGAGAGGGTTAGTTGGCTTCCTGGGTGACCCGATCCCGGAGAAGTGTGGATGGAGTCCAGAAGGGTAAGACGTAGAGTGGTAGGTACATAAAGTCTTCCTTCCGGACCTCCCGGCAGAGCAGGTTCTGTGAGAGTGGTGGTACGAATTTGATCATTCACTTCCCAGGTGATTGGACATGCGAACACACTGGGTGAAAGAATGGGTTCCGGGTTATCTGGAGATGGATCTGGTTGGTAAAATCGAGATAAAGCGTATGCTTTGAGGTTCTTATGCCCAGGACGGTAGGTTACTGTGAATTGGAAACGGGTAAAGAATAAGGCCCATCAGGCTTGGCGGGGATTGAGATGTTTAGTTTCACAGAGGTATTGGAGGTTCTTGTGATCAGTTATGACTTCGAAGGGATGTTGAGCCCCTTCCAACCAGTGCCTCCACTCTTCCAGCGCGAGTTTGATTGCCAGTAACTCGTGGTTCCCGATGTCGTAATTTTGTTCCGCCGGGGATATCTTCTTAGAGAAGTATGCGCATGGATGGAGTACGGGGGGTTCACCCTTCCATTGGGATAATACTGCACCTACTCCCAGAGTGGAAGCATCCACTTCCACCACGAACTGATGGTTCGGATCTGGATGGGTTAGGGCTGGAGCGGTGCAGAAAGAGGATTTGAGCTGCAGAAATGCCTGTGTGGCTTCAGGCATCCAGGAGAGGGTCTAAGGTTTCTGATGGAGGAGAGAGGTAAGTGGAGCCGACTGTTGACTATAATGGGCGATGAAACGCCGATTGAAATTTGCGGATCCCAAGAATCTCTGCAGCTCTTTGACCGTGGTGGGTTGTGGCCAATTCCTCACTGCTTCCACCTTGTTCTGGTCCATTTGGACTCCCTCTGGTGTGATTATGTAGCCCAGGAATTGAATTGTGGTTAGATGGAACTCACACTTTTCCTGCTTGAAGTAGAGGTAGTGCTCGCGGAGACGTTGGAGTACCTGGGAGACCTGCTGTTGGTGTTCCTCAAGATTGGGTGAGTAAATGAGAATGTCGTCGATATAGATTATCAAGAAATGATTGAGCATATCACGGAAGCTTTCATTCATGAAGTTTTGGAAGATGGATGGTGAGTTTGAAAGGCCACACGGCATTACCAGGTACTCTTAGTGCCCGGATGGTGTTATGAATGCAGTTTTCCATTCGTCTCCTCTTCGACTGTGGATTAGATTGTAGGCACTGCATAGATCGAGTTTTGTGAAGATCCGGGCACCACAGAGTTCCTCCAACGAGGCTGGCACCAGAGGGAGTGGATAGGAAAATTTGATGGTTTGGGAGTTGAGTGCTCGATAGTCGATACAAGGGCGTAGGCCCCCATCCTTCTTCGCCACAAAGAAGAAACTGGATGCTGCAGGAGAAGTGGAAGAACGGATGAACCCCTGATGTAATGCCTCCTTGATGTACTCCTCCATAGCAGCGCGCTCCGGGATCAATAGAGGATAGACATGTCCCTTAGGTAATTTGGCCCCAGGCAGCAGGTCGATTGCACAATCCCATGGCCGATGAGGTGGAAAATGGGTTGCCGCGACCTTGCTGAACACGTCCTGGAACACCCTGTAGGTGGCTGGAATGTGGACTGAGCTTTGTGAAGCTGGGCTCTCTATAGTGGTAGAGCAGAGCGGTATGGAGAGCTTAGCTCGGTCTGGAAGAGGGAGGTCTGCTAAACATGTCCTGAAACAGGATTCACTCCACCGAAGTATTTCCCCGGAGTTCCAGTGGATGTCTGGATGATGTTTAGCCAGCCAGGTACACCCCAGGACTATATCTACTGTAGCCTCCTCCAGCACCAGGAACGAAATTCGTTCAGCATGGAAGTTTCCGATGGGAAGAGTGACTTCAGGGGTGCGGTGGCGCACCAACCCTTTGCTCAGCGGCTTTCCTTGTATATTGGAGATTTGGTCGATGGTGGAATTACGGTGTCGAGGGTGCTTGATTTGAGTGAGACTGATGGAGGAGATGAAATTTCCTGAAGCTCCCGAATCCACCAAGACTTTGACTGAAAAAGAGTGGTTCATGTACATTAGAAGGGCATCAGTGTGAGGTAGACTTGAGACATCAGGATGAATATGGACCGTACTCACCGCTAAGCGTGTGGGGCAAATAGGGCAGGAGGGAAGAAGGTGCTCCTGGGACCCGCAGTACAGACAGAGCCTTTGGGTGATTCGGCGAGCTGTGGTTAGATGTTGGGAGATGTGCAGCGCTTTTTGCAGAAAGCTCTCTAGACCTACGGTGTCTTCATAGATAGCCATTTGCTGTCTGATTGAAGGGTTTAGACCACGTCGGAACACTGATAGAGGGCCGTTTCATTCCATCCGCTGCTTGCCACGAGGGTACGGAATCAAACTGTATAGTCATGGTTAGACATATTCCCTTGCCGTAGTCGAAAGAGCTCATCGTGCACAGAGACAGCCGAGGTAGTTTTGCCAAACACCTACTAAATAAAAGGCATCATAGGAGCGCACTAGGGGACTGCGCTAATTCCAGAGAGCTTCGGCCCATTGCAGTGCCCTTCCAGACAGTAGTGACATGATGAATGCGATCTTCGCTCGATCATTCACAAACTGATGGGGTTGTAATTCGAAGTATAATGAACACTGGAGTAAAAAAAACGCTGCAGGCAACCGCCTCACCGAAGTAGGCCGTGGGTTTGGCCATGGTACATGCAGAGGCAGATGGCATGATGGGAGGAGGCTGACGGGATTCGCAGAGTGTTTGAACCAGTTCAGTGAAGGGATCTGGGGTGAGTGATCTCTGTGCCTCCATAGCAAGCTTCAATCCATTAAATTTCACTTCTGTTTTGATGGTCTGGTCTTTTGTCACGGCTGGATAGAGAGGCATACAGAGGAAGAACGATTCAGAGCTTCTTTATTTACACAAACTGAAGGAGAGCTTAAAACGGTAAGTTTTAAAACTGAAAAATAACATTAGCTCTTGAAACTGAAGAGTAACATTCCTTATCTTAATCCTCTTTAGGTAGATCCAGCAAGACGGCGGGAGACACAGATCCACGGAGCTCCAGAGTGATGTGGAGAGGTATGAGGTAAGGTATGCAACCTTGAGACCAGTCAATGAGAGACTGAGGTGAGTGAACAGATATAGTGCTAAGGTAAGTGGCATCAGGTGTTCGTAATTAGTAATCAGGTGATTGTGAACGGGTGTAGGTGGCTGATGTGGCTGATGAATCTGTGACAATAGGGACCAATTGACCTATCGGTAAGCCCGGCCCCCTTTGTTATGGTTGCTCCCTCGGACAAACAAACGGAGCTGCTCACTGTCTTACAATGACAGCTATTCGTGTGAACACCTTGTCACAAGATATTCTTGAAAAATTTTGGAAACAGAAGGACCACCATTCAAGTGGGAATTAAATATGCCATGGAGGGATATATAAAAGATTTTAAAATAACTATGGTGGGTAACTCGAAGTGAGGGTTTACAGATCACAATGCATGCAGGAGAAACCTCATGTTACGGTCGTCACGATCGCGGATGACAACATGCAGGATCAACACTGTTCATGTATCGCAGGGTACGATTAAATTAATTTACATTTAACCAGTTTAATATGGAGAGGCACTGAAATGTAGACCTTCGTTTAATGTTTTTTTGACCTACTCTGTACAAGACGCAAGAACAGTCCGCTATTTAGGTTTGTATGTTAGCATGGACTCACTAACTTCAACGTTCGCTAGTTTTAACCAGAGATAACTTGCTGAAATACAAGATGACATTAACGTTCTGCTTGAGCTGATAAAAAACTGTATGAGAGTATGACAAACAGAAAATTGGGATTAGAGTTGAATGCTTACGGACATTTTGTTCTGTTTTGTTTGGGTTCAGGAAATGGAATAAAATAAATTCCATTGCCAATTATCTCAGGATACCTGGAATCAGTGTTACAAGTACCCCTGGCACATCGTTTTTCCATTTTTGTAGCATAAACACCATCAAACCGAGGAAAGCTTCGGATCTTCCAATGTTTCTCTATGGCGCAGAAACCTAAAAATGTCAGAGTTCCGTTCCCCGTGCAACTGATACTCGACTGCCATTGACTCATCTGCGTTCGAGGGGGGGGGGTCTTACTGATGGGTCAGTTCTCACTGTTAACAAGTTGCTTATTAGCATGCCTATTGTTAACATATTGGCTGTTTATTAGCACTTATAAAGCATATGCTGCATGGTCATATTCTACATCCCTAATCCTACCCAATACCTAAACTTAACAACTACCTTACTAACTATTAATAAGCAGCAACTTAGGAGTTTGAGGAAAATTTTTTATTTAAAATAAGGTGTCATCGAGAGAAAAAAAAAAGTAAAAAAAAACTATCAGTGGCCACAGTTCATGCTTAGCAATTTCTCCCTCAATGTCCTGGGTTTGGTTCTTAGTTAATCCTTAAAATAAATGTAAAAAAAAACAAGATTGGCATTGTTTGCAGTGGATGACTGCACCATGTGGGAGGAAAAATGTGCTGCAATGATTGCTCAACACGTTGGCATGCGGAGTTCTTGGGATCAAAGTGTTTGAAGCTTTATAGGACTGTGTTGGGCTCCAGATTTTCTCAATAGCCACTTCTGACTTCCCCACAGATTGCGAAACCGTCCGGCTGCTTGTTTCATCACAAAGTTTATGCAGAAAAACAAGAGTCTGAACTTTGCTCTTATCAGAGAGTGGAGTGTTGAGATAAGTATGTGCACTTGCGGGCAGGTTTTCAGCAGCTCCGGGCCCCTGTTCTGTGGGCACTGATGCTGGACTAATCAACAGCTGCATCATGTGTGGACGTGAAGCACAGCACCGTTCCGTTCTGTCTGGAAACCGCTGCGATAACACACTGCTGCCGTCCGGTTCCTTTGGCCTGATGATTCATTTCGAGTTCAGAGTCACATTACACTCACGCTGTGTTTGAGTAGTGTGCACTTACAAAATTTGCATTGAACATTTTTGACTGGGTCATTGTGACTAGTAAATTTGTAAATGCTATGCTGCTAATGTCACAAAAAATGTAATTGTGAAAATAAAGACAAAATATTTTCCCAGACACTTCCCAGAGTAATGCCTTTGTTTGAGCCAGAATACACCGTCAAACAGTATATGCTCTTCATAATGGCTTACTTATCTTGACTTTGTTGACTTACAGTTGGCTTTTTCACACCATGTGTGGATTTTTGACACTCTACAAATCTCTTTAGAAACAGTGTGAAAATGAGTTTGTTGGTATACTAACAATCGTATATTACAACATATATTATCTCTGCCTTGGAAATTTGTCCCCTACTGGGTGGGCACTGGCCCCCAGTTGAGAACTATGCTGTTCAGGCTTATATTACATTTGTTAATTTCTCCAGACATGTGAATGAAGTAGGCTTTTCCCAACTTGTGTTTTTAATAGCCCTAGTTCTGTAACCAGTTTAATCTCATAGTCTAAAACCTGAAATGTTCCTGCATGCACACTATTACTTAAAATAAATAAATAAATAAATTTTTTTTACAAAAAAGTTGTGCATTATGACACAAAGATGGCTGGCCACCAAGTAACTTAAAAATAATGATTAAAAATAAGCAAATATGCAAATAAATAAATAAATAGTGATTTTGCTGTACCAATACATAGAAGTAATTGCTAAAAACAAAAACGGCCAGAATGCACCGTCAAACAGTATATGCTCTTCATAATGGCTTACTTATCTTGACTTTGTTGACTTACAGTTGGCTTTTTCACACCATGTGTGGATTTTTGACACTCTACAAATCTCTTTAGAAACAGTGTGAAAATTAGTTTGTTGGTATACTAACAATCGTATATTACAACATATATTATCTCTGCCTTGGAAATTTGCCCCCTACTGGGTGGGCACTGGCCCCCAGTTGAGAACTATGCTGTTCAGGCTTATATTACATTTGTTAATTTCTCCAGACATGTGAATGAAGTAGGCTTTTCCCAACTTGTGTTTTTAATAGCCCTAGTTCTGTAACCAGTTTAATCTCATAGTCTAAAACCTGAAATGTTCCTGCATGCACACTATTACTTAAAATAAATAAATAAATAAATTTTTTTTACAAAAAAGTTGTGCATTATGACACAAAGATGGCTGGCCACCAAGTAACTTAAAAATAATGATTAAAAATAAGCAAATATGCAAATAAATAAATAAATAGTGATTTTGCTGTACCAATACATAGAAGTAATTGCTAAAAACAAAAACAAAAACATGAACAACAACCAACCTTTAGCCATTTTTGTCTCTTTGACTTTGAGCCTTTATATAAATGTATTTATTTATTTTTATATTTATTTATTTTCTTTTTTTCTGTGCAGCAAAAGTGAAAATATTAGCTTTATTATTAATAATATTTCAGTCATGGTCCATCTCATTATGTGTTGAGACATGTGTCTTCTACAGTCTCATCAGAGAGAACAGATAGTGTGTCCTGGAAAAATTCCCATTGCTTACAGATTATGGGTTATGATGAGAAAAGACAAACTCACTGGAAGAAAAAAAAAAAGTTTATTTTTTATTTTTTAAAGAAACGGAAATGACCTTGCTGCACACAATGCCTCAGTGGGCTGAGGTCTGATCTCTGTAAACACAACCACTGTAGGGAAGAGACTGTATTTAAGTTGCACTCTTTGAAGTCATTCCATATTGTTTATGACAAATAAAAGGAGGTCAGAGGTGTATGGGAGGTGTTTGGGACTTACCAGAAGAGGAGGAGAGTAAGGTTGTGTTGTATTGTCTGATTTTGCAGATAGAAAACCCCAGATATCTGCGTGAGAACCCTATCCCACTGTCTCCGGTAAGTGCTGACGGCTCCTAGTGGCAGAAACATGATTGATCTCCACAACTGCATATACAGTTAAATGACAATTCCAGGTAACACTTTAGGGACCAATTCTCACTATTAACTAGTTGCTTATTAGCATGCATATTTTTAGCATATTGGCTGTTTATTAGTAATTATAAAGCACATATATATTTATATATATATATATATAATTATAAAGCACAGTATAGTAAGTACATGTAGTTAATTAATATTACTCAGTACTTAAATGTATAATTACACTGTAACAAGAACACCTTAAAATAAAGTGTAACCAGTTATCTTTATTATCTTTATAGTTATTGTGTGAACGGGCCTTTATTTTGCATAACCAGAGTTGAGTATGAAGCGTTACACAGTAATTACTAATTACTTTTCCTGATAATGCAGTAATGTAATGCATTACATTTTAAATTAATGTAATTTGATTACATGTCAATAAAATTACGTTACTTAAAGCTGCAGTCCGTAACTTTTTTTGTGTTCAAAATTTATATAATAAGTGTGTACACCATGAATCCATTTTCCAAACCGTGTTTTTGGCTTGTCCTGAATCACTACGGTACACCTATAATAAGTGTTTATATTCGGACTATTTAGACTGGTTCGGGGTAGGTACCGCTGCGGAGTAGCCCAGTACCTGCGTGATTCGCTATAGACATAAACAGAGAGAAGTAGCTCCGGCTACAATGTTCTTCCGCTAGATGCACGCAGTTCTGTTTATTAACCACTAGAGCGCCAAAAGTTACGGACTGCAGCTTTAAGTTACGAATGCAATGTTAAAAAAAAAAGAAGTAAAAATCATGTTTTGCTCGTCAGTATGCCCTTTAATAAATCACCGGAGAATGCGAGCTAAAATGCAGATGAGTCCTACAACATTTAGATGCAATGAAAGGTTATATCATATTTCAAAATGTTGCATTCGAGTTCACATATTTTAGTCTGGCATTATAGTTTAGGAAAAGTTCAACAAGTAAATGTGTACAAGTTTATGTTACAATAACAATAATATAAGTAAAAAATAAATGACTCATTAGAATGCAATCCTCCGCTGGATTAAGCCGCTCGCCACATCGCATTCTTCTTCTGAGGTAAATACAAGGCTTATTCCTCACAGCGCATCTTGTTCCAAAAACAAAAAGTAGCCCAGATGAACTTGATGAATCTTAACGCTTAGTTTACGGAGGTGATGAGGGTGTCTCAAGCCTGGTTTCACATGGATGATTATCGTATAGCGCAATGCGCGTGGGTGTGACCACATTACAGATAATGAACTCATACGGGAAAGACTGTACCTCACGTTGGTTTCAAACGAATTACTTTATCAGAGAACACTTTTGAATGCTTCATTTAAAATCAGACACTTCAAGCTTTCTTTAGATATATTTTTCATGTCTGTGTGTCAAGTATTCTGAGTTTTCGTTCATTTTAGTAATGCATTTCAGGAAGATATTCACGGAGACTGAGACTGCAGGAAGCGCACCCTGTTTGTTTTCTTAATTTTACAAAAGCACTATTTTGTTAGTATTGTGAGTGTATACAAATAAAAGATCTTTTACAGTTTCAAATTATGTATTACTCTTATCTGTACGATCAAAAATTACGAAATTACGTACTTTTCGCTGTCATCAGGAATAAATGCAAGTAATCGTACAAGTTGCCATTTTGATACTTAGGCTATGTAATTTTTCTGTCAATATTAAATTATTGAAAGAACTATGTGTTTCACTTTGTAGTGCATTTTTTTAGGTTTGATAACTTGAAAAGTAAAGTACACTTGAAAGTAACTTGTAAGTAAAGTAATTAGTAATTTGATTACTTTTTAAATGCAGTAATCAGTAATGTAATCAAATTACAATTTCAAAGAAGTAATTAGTAATTTGTAGTCAGTTATTTTTTTTTGAGTAACTTACTCAACACTGTGCATGACCATATTTTAGATCCCTTAATCCTACCACATGCCTGAACTTAACAACTTCCTTACTATGAATAAGCAGCAAGTTAGCAGTTTATTGAGGCAAAAGTTGTATAGTTAAAAGTTAGTTAATAGTGACAATTGGTCTCCAAACTAAAGTGTGATAAAATTTCAATGAAAACATAATGCAAAATAAAGAACAAAGAAACAAATTATGAGAAAAAAAACTGCAAATACAACAGTCAACTTAAAGCATACAGCAAGACACTGTCATTTCTCTTTGACTGCATGTTGTTCAAACATTAATAGTAATTATTAGTATTATTTCTTGAATTCAGCATTCAGATATTTAGTGCAACCAGTACTGTAGAACTGTTATTGTAACATGCTTTTATTAGTGTAGTATCAACAGAATGCACATTTTATCTTTCTCTTTTGTTATTAATAGATTTACAACAAATCAAGTCTTGGAAAAAACAGCACCCTTTATGATGAGGCCGCCCCAGTGAAAGCTGATAAGGAGGTAGGAACATTATGTTCTCCCAAAGTGCTTGAAATGTGCTGTAATTGCTTTCAAAATGGCCCAGTCCCTTTAAAGGAGTAGCTGACTCCAAAATGACAATTGAAATTTGCAGTGAATAATGACTTGGACACTTTGCAATGCAAAAGAACAGAACAAAGATTCTGCTAAACAGCTTAATTTCTTCTCAAAAAAGACGTCCCCTACGGGTTTGGAACGATACGATTAAATGATGACACAAGTTTCACTTTTGATTGAACTAACCGTTTAACCAGTGATGGTTTACTTCAGCGCTGCTGTCTTGTTGAGATTTGTCATCCAGCATGCTTTTCCACTTCTTAAGTAAATGCTGTGTGATGGCTGGTTGCTTTTAATAAACTCAAGAAAGCAATCCTGGATGACAGCTTCACACACCTAACCAAAGCAAGGCTCTCTGAGTTTCGCTTGTTTAGGGACGCCGACTTCTCTTAAGAGCTTTACAAACCCTGTTTGTGATGAGTTTCCCCCTGTATGTGGGTTTAAGCTGAAAATCCCATAGAACAAGCTTCTCTTTGATGTCGTTTGACTGGAATTGTTGAATATACTGAGTGTGACCTGCTGTAATCACATTTCCTCTGGGAAGAGCAGTGCTCAATTAGGTCAACTTCAGTCACACAGCATCATCAGCCCTCGTCTTCACTAGAATACAGCTATTTCGCAAAACAGCTGAATAGTCTTTTGAAACAGTCCTTAAGTCTCCAGGGCTGGCATTTGAATGATGAAGCCACCACATTAACTCCACACACTGTTAAGAAAAGAGATTCTAAGATTAGCTGAAACATTGTTTTACTGTAAGCAGAGTAAATAGCATCTGCGTTGGGCTGTTGAGCATGGTAATTAATAACAGGTGGCAGAAACGGCAGGCCAAGAGGTCTGCATGAGTTAACATCAAGGCTTAAGAAACGTTCCCAGGTAATGGGGTGAAGGGTGAGTCAAACGTTCCTCAGGAGCTGCTAGGCTTTGATGAAGGGAAATGGTGCATGCGTTGCCCTTCGTTGCCTCTGATTGAAATGACTGTGCAGCTGAGGACAGAGAAAAACAAAGCTCATACTAGTTCTAGTATTCATCCCCGGCACTGCTCTTGCTGTGTGTTCTTGGCGTTGTGCCTCACTATCATTGTTTACTCTTTCTTCGTAACCTGAAATCATGAGTTCTGTCTTTATTTCACATATGTCTCCTGAAAACTTTGTCAGTAGACTAGTTTTACTACTTTGTCTTGTTTTGCTAGGACACATAGCATCTAAACAGCATTAAAGTTAGCATTTAGATGAATCATTCGATGAATCACTCTGTTCAGTTAGTTGATTCATACTCTGATTCAGTGATTCATTTGCAGCATCACACAAAAGTGTTCAAGTCTCTGTGGCCTATTTATAAAAAATATACTGTATGTAGATGCATATTACTGTTTATTACAATGTAATGGTATATTAGTGCATATAAATTCAAGTTTAGAAATTCAAATATAAAAAAAAAGATGGTTATTTAATCAGTTATGGCTCATTAGCTCTAGCATTCTGCCCACTTTAAAATCAGACACAGAGATGAAGTAGTGCAGTAAGATCACAAGTAATTTGAATTAATTAATTATAGCATTTATTTGTATTAATTATCAAGGTGAGGGGGGATGAAAGTTGTGTGTGAATCTGTGCATCTCTGTCTACAAACAATGAAGCTGTCAGTTTAGTTACTTCAAAAACAGTGATTTTACTGCCTCCTTGCTAGAAATATAAATACTGATTCAGTATCAAGTTGCCAAAACAGCATCTTCCCACTGAGGTATGGACTCTACTAGACCTCTGAAAGTGTCCTTTAAAAGCAGATCCTTGTGGGGTGAGGCTGCCGTGGATCGAATGTATTGGTCCAGCACATTCCACAGATGCTCAAATGGTTTGGAATTTGGTGAATTTGGAGGCCAGGGCAACACCTTGAACTCTTCATCATGTTCCTCAAACCATTCCTGAGCAATGTGTGCAGTGTGTCAGGGTGTGTGATTCTGCTGAAAGAGGCCACTTCCATCAGGTAAACACAAAAAATGGGTGTACCTGCTTTGCAACAATGTTCATGTAGGTAGCACGTGAATAGCTGGCCCAGGCTTTCCCAGCAGAACATTTGCCAGAGCATCACACTTTCTCCACCGGCCAGCTTGTCGTCACTCCACACTGCATCCTGGAGCCATCACTTCCTCAGGTAAATGGCCGTCCATGTGATGTAAAAGAAAATGTGACTCATCGGACCAGATGACCTTTTTCCACTGGTCCAAGATCCGGTTCTGATGCTTGCGTGCCCTTTGTTGACGAACAGGGGTCATCATAGGCACTCTTTTCCCAATAAATCACCCTTTGAGTGTTTTACTTTTGAGTTGTAATATTGAAAAAAGAAGACAGCAGCTTTAAGGTGGTGATAATATATTTCCTTATGAGGTAATGCGGTCTATTTTATTTATTTGACTATCCCAGTAGTTTGTTTATTTGCGACATTTCAGTTCTGTTATTTTTCCTTCATAGAGAAAGGCAGTGATTTGATAGAGATGTCATCAGTGTGACTGGGGAAGCTTTCTGGTGTTTATCCAAACACTGAACAGTCACCCAGATTTTGACTCTCAAAATAGCTGGAATCACAGATTCAACCCGCAGTGTGGCGCTAAAACGTAGCAGCCGTTTTGTGAAAATATTCCCTGAGGAAATGTGTGAAACCAACGCTGGGCAAAGAAAAGACAGAACAGCTGCTCTCATCTCCTTCACACGTCTTCATCTCTCCTCCTCCCACCCTTCCATCTCTCCTTCTGCTCTTCAAAAAGCTCCACGTCTCTGTGAGTTTAACGGGAGTAAAAGCACCAATGTCATTCGCTTCACTGATTCCAGGGAATCTGAAAACCCGGAGGTGTGCGCCCGCCCGCCGCACCTTTTCAGACAAGAGTTTCAGAACGCCACTGATGAAGTTTGACAAACTTTTCTAAAAGCACCAATTGAAACTTAAAAAAAAAAGACAAGAAAAGAAAAAAAAGTGCCGCCCACGTTTGCATCTGTGCTGCCGGGATCTGTTTGACTGCGTGGCTTCAATCAGTGCAATCTTCTCCTCTGACAGGTCTCCTGTGGTCTCTGAGATTGCACAAGAAGACTCGTACGCAAAGCAAGAGACGGGGGCTTGTTTCTCAGGGTTGAGTGGAAGTAGGGCAGGTGACGGTAGCAAACGGCGTGCTTTGCTCTTATGAGATCGTTCCAGCCTCCAGATAATGCTGTCATGAGACAACCTTCTATGTTTGGTTTCTATCAAATGTGTCTGGACGTTGATTTTAGTGTTTATTCATAAAGACTTTTTTGTCGGACTAAATTGTGAGATATGTACTCGTATGCAACTTCTAAGGGGTGTACATCTCAAAACATGAAAATGTGAATGCAAACACTTCTGGCTATGCATTTCATGCGTTGTTGTGTTCAGAAATGTGTTATAAAGCAAGCAAACATTGGGTTCTCGGGATTGCTGCAAGCAGTCATTCGCTTAAACTGTCTTCTACATTACGTGCATTTGTTTTTCATGATATTTCAAGGGATAGTTCAATCAAAAATGAAAATTCTATCACCCTTTCCTTCAAATTGTTCCAAACTTGTACAAGTTTCTTTCTTCTGTCAAGCACAAAAGAAGATATTTTAAAGAATGTTGGTAACTAAACAGTTGACAGTAGCCATTGACTATTGAAAATAGAATTTTAATTTTTGCGTGAAGTATACCTTTAATGTCATGATGAAGAGAATCTTACAGTTATAGTAACACATGTGGTTCATTAATGGCAGATATTTTAAGGTAAAGTAACTCTATTGTCCTCTTGAGCATGTACAAGAAGACCATGCATTGGTTAAGCCAGGAGCTTCCCCCAATTTTCAATACCACACCAAACCTAGCCTAAAATAAGTAAAAACTTCTTAAGCAATTAAGTAAACAATAAACTATCAAGTGATAAAAGAAGAAGAAGCAAATTACAACACAAATGACACAAAAGAAATATGCGTGGTTTTTATTTCCTTCTTCGGTTTGGTCTAGCCTAGTATTCAGTTAGGACATACTACAGAAATCGAATAAAGTCATCATCAAATATAAAATAAATATCAGTGCATAAGTGCTTAATTCAGTTCTCCTGCACAGTTTATTGCACTTTTAATAACTTATTAAACACATTCTGCTGTTTTCTCATTCACCCATGTTTCCATCTCACTTTAGCGTGTCAATAATGTTAAGCAGTCCTGCACAACATGTTTACATTTACATACCGCAATAAAAATACAGCAATATCGTTATCAACTGAAATCTGTTGCCATGATATAAGGCTGTCAGTTTAATGCAGTAACTTAATTAATTAGTTATGAAAAAAATAACACGATTAAAATATTTTAATACATTTAATGCACACGCCCCGCCCCCAGATCTGTACATCATCTTAAATTTCATACAGTTGATAAATATGATGCAGGACAACAACTCCATAAACGCAGTTATGCCCTAAAATTCAAGATATTGGGGTAAAAAAATACCCCTGTATGAGTTTTTGTCTCATATTTATGTCATATGATAAGCGATGTCAAACGAGCAGTGAGAGCAATATCATATCAATATGTTGCTTTTGTCCTGAATAGCATGAGTGCAAATGTGATTTTAAACACCAGTTCAGTAAATAAGAAGCTAACACCTATATTTTAAACACAATATTGTCTGTTTTTGCTCAACTTTGCTAATGCAAATATTACCTAGAATTGATGCGCATCTCTCCAGGACTCTACAGTGCGACCATTTCAGTCGCATTTGCTACTGCATGCGACTATGAAAAAATATTGACCTGATCAGCATATTAGTGTTTGCGCTCGGGGAGCTTCAATCGTTTCTACTTACAATGTGTTTTTGCAGCGTTGAGTAATGTATCACACACATATCTGTTAATTCCTTGAACACAATGTTAATCAGAATTCACT